GCACTCTCCATACTGATTTCCATAGCTTCCAGGAACCTCCTCCAGGGCTCCCACACAAGTGCAGGGTCCCAAGGCTTTGGGCCGTCCTTGACTGCTTTCCCAGGCTACAAGCAGGGAGCTGGATGGGAAGCAGGGCTGCTGGGATTAGAACCGGCGCCCATATGGGACCCTGGCGCATGTTTTCAAGACAAGGACTTTAGCTGCTAGACTATCACTCTGGGCCCCATTCATTTCTCTTTACGGTAGCAAAAATGACTAAGCTGTCAAGGATTCTGCTTGAGGTTAGTGTTGTGTAGGGCAGATTAAAGCTCGTTCCGTATCCAAGTGCAAATCAAGGCCTAAGTGCACCGGGCCTCTGGCACTCACTTGGGGAGACCAGGGATGCAGGTCCTGGGCCCTGGCGTTTCCTGGCCTCCCCCTGGCTATTGTGGCCCTTTAGGGAATGAACCAGTAGACGGAAGATCTTTCTCTGTCATTCTACCGTCTAAAAGTAAGTCCCTCCTCCACCTTTTTTTTTTTTTTTTTTTTGCAGTTCTATTTCCAATATAATAAACTTGTCGTTTTATTGTGGCATTTCCCTAACCTTAGAAAGGGAAGCAGAATTCATTGCGACGGCTGGAGCTGAGCCAATCCGAAGCCAGGAGCCTCTTCTGGGTCTCCCACATGGGTGCAGGGTCCCAACGCTTTGGGCCGTCCTCGACTGTTTTCCCGGGCCACAGACAGGGAGCTGGAAGGGAAGCGGGGCTGCCGGGATTAGAACCGGCGTCCATATGGGATCCCGGGCGTGCAAGGTGAGGACCTTAACCACTGCGCCATCAAGCTGGACCATCGGGATTTGCTTTTCAACCTTGTTTGGCATTTGAGATTTTTGCCCAGGACTGAAGTTTCCTGTTGTGCGTAGGCTCATCAGTTCTCAGGTGCGGCTTCAGAGCTCAGAGCTTTCCGCGGTTCTGTGCGGCTCTGTCCCGTCTCCGGAGTTCTATCTCACGCTCTCCAAGTGGCGTCCTTTGTCTCGTCCCTTTAGGCCAGCTGTTCTGGGACCGATTTCCTCGCACTGTGGCCTGGGGGATCTTTGGAGTAGATAGCAAGCTGGGGAGATCCTGGGTTCACGGGCTTTGCCCTTCTTGGGAGCCTGGGGTCCAGTGTCATGAAAACTGCCCTTTTGTGGAGTCTGGTTTTCTAGCTGTTTCAGGCGTGAGAGTAAAACTGAAAACCAAGACTGAAGAATAAACGGAGCTCCGTTTACACAGGGAGCTGCCGCGGGAGCCAGTCCGGGAAGCCAGCACGGAGGGCTTGCATGATTTCCACTGCTGGTTTTTTTTGGAATAGTGCCCCAGGATGATGAAATTTATCCATGATTGTACCTGATGGCTTAATTCAAACCTGGAAACTTTCACTGGGAATTGTTTTTTTTTAGATCCTTTATCCTTTTGTTTTTATAAAGAAATTAAATGATAAGTTTCATTGGGGTGAAAGCATATTTTGAGAAATCCATGCATACATGCATGTATAAATCCATGCATACATCATGTATACAATCATTGTATACAATCATTGTATACATTTCCCATGAATTTTTTTAAATTTAACTTTGTTATTATTATTATTACCTATTTTCTTTTTTAAAAATTCTTAACTTTATTATTATCTTCATCATCATTTTATGATACAGTTCCATAGGCCCTGGGATCTCCCTTAGCCCCTCCCCAAGTTCCTTTTTCCCTCCACTGCGTTCCCCTGTATTATTGCCATAGTATAGTTCTTTATAGAAAGTCCTATGTCCGTCATTGTGGGCGTGGACAATGGCGGAGAGTCCAGCATCCTATTGTCAAGATACAGTAAACAGTTTCACTGGGAGTCCATCTTTGGCAGCAGAGATGCGTACTGCATTGTATCCTCCCATGTGGGTATGACAGTCTCCGTTACACAGCTACTGTACATCCACTTAAATGAAAGCCGCAATACAAAATCAACAACAGGAAGAAAAATAGACAATTACAATGCCGTGACGTTAAATAACATGCTACTGCGGGCCCAGCACGGTGGCGCATTGGTTAAGGTCCTCCCCTTGCATGCCCAGGATCCCATATGGGCGTCGGTTCTATCCCGGCAGCCCCACTTCCCTTCCAGCTCCCTGCCTGTGGCCCGGGAAAGCAGTCGAGGACGGCCCAAAGCTTTGGGACCCTGCACCCGCGTGGGAGACCCGGAAGAGGCCCCTGGCTTCGGATTGGCATAGCATCAGCTGTTGCGCTCACTTGGGGAGTGAATCATTGGAAGGAAGATCTTCCTCTCTGTCTCTCCTCTCTGTATATCCGCCTTTCCAATAAAAATAATAATAATAATAAAAAATAACATGCTACTGACTGACTAATGTGTCACTGAAGAAATGAAAAAGACCATCAGGAATCTGCTAGAAGAAAACGATGCTGCTGTATGATCTATGAATCCGTGAAGGATTTAATGAGAAAGAGTTTTGAAGAGATGAAACTAAAGAAAAAAAAAACCCTTCAAAACCCATGCGATACAGTTTCAGCTTATCTTTGTTGGTGAAATGTGTCTCCTGTAGGCAACAAATAGATGGGTTTTATTTTTTTCATCCAGTCTACTTATCTATGACGTTTGATGGATGATTTAATCCGTTTACATCCGGGGTTACTATGAATGGGTGGTAATTAGCAGTGATAAATGTACCCAGACCTGTGCCGATACAGTTCTGTCCTTTGAGAAGATACCATGAACAAGACAAGAGTATACAGTTGAAGCGTAACTTCAAACCAAGGATTGCGCTGAGCCCCTCTCTGACCCCGAGGGGACAGGAGGACAGCCACTTTACAAGCTGGGAAGGCATTTTAGAGGCGGTGAGGTGACAGGCCTCAGGACTTTATGCAAAGGGGAAGGAGGTCTGAGAGAATATTCCAGATAGTGAGGCTACGGTAAAGACCGGGAGGACCAGTGGGTGACATGCTTTCTAAATAGCAGCTTCTGGGGGTGGCAGCGTATGCGTCGATACAGGAGGTAGTGGGCAGTTTCCCTGTGTGCATCCTAAGAATGCGAACTTGGAATATGGTGTCAACCTCTTCAGAATGTATGCTCAAGTCTGCTTTCCAGATGTTGAGTCATATGCTAGAGTCCCGCACAGGGCAAAACTGTGTAACTCCCTGACCATGTACCCAGTTTAGAGGTGACAGGCAACCACATCTTTTTTTGTCAGTCTTGTGCATAAGTTTTCCTCTTTGAATTAATGGAGGAAGCGAAAATACGTTAACTGGAGTCCTTAGAAGTTTTAAGTAGTTTGGGGCTGCCATGTGGCACAGCAGACTCGCATCCCGTATGAGTGCCGGTTTGTGTCCTGGATGCTTCGTTTCTAATCCAGCTCCCTGTGATTGGCCTGGAAGTGGGAAAAGCATGGAGGACGGTCCAAGAGCCTGCTACCAGGTGGGAGATTCTGGAAGGAGCTCCTGGCGTCAGCCTGATGCAGTCCCAGCTCTTGAGTAAATCAGCGAATACGCTATTCTCTTTCTCTCTCTCCTCCTGTAACTCTTTCTTCAAATAAAGTTAAGCAATCTGTCCACAAAAAAGAAATAAGCAATCAGGAGATATGCAGAGAGAGAAATGGAAGATACAAAGGTGCAAATTTGTGAAAAAAAAATGGAATCAAACTTTTTTTTTTTGAAACTGAAACATAGTTTGTTTGTTTTTTTTTCATGGTAACCATTTCCCACAAACTCTATAAAGAATTGAGAGGTGGAAATACCCACACATTCGCTGCTTCACTCCAAACGGTTGGGTGCACATAGCAGGCGCAGGAGTTATAAGTGCAGCTGGGATTTGAACCCAGGCATTCCGATACACGTTGCAAGCATCCTAAACTGGGTCCTGATTGGTACACCAAACACTTTGCCCCATCAAGAGCTTTTTGAAGTAGCATAGTAGATAACAGGCTTTTTTTTTTTTTTTTTTAATAAATAAACATTGTGAGCTGCTCAGAATACCCAGAGCTAAGCCTGTGGTTTGTTGCTGTTGGGGCATTCCAGCAGTCGGTGGAAGCGTCACTATTGAGTGGACGAGCCTACCTAGTTTAGCATCCGCAGGTGTCTGGTGGGCAATCTGCCAGCCAGCAGGAACCCCCTAGGCTGCAGCCTTTGTATTCCTGCACGACTGACAAGGCAAAGGTGCCGCCTGCTCTCAGGACCCTGCTGTACCCCGGAACTTCTCTGCATTGAACTGTGCAGCAAAGCTGAAGCCGCTGGGCATTGTAGTGTTGAAGGGTATCTACACATCACCGCTAGCAGCTTGTGTTTCCACTACGGAACTAAGATCTCAACAACAGTTGTAGTTCCACACCCTTAGCATTTGTTAGGGTCTCCATGTCGTCTACTAAAAGTCCTCTCAAACTAAGCCTTTCCTGGCACTGAATATAGACGCTACAACACACTCAGATTCTAGGAGGTGGCCACGTCCGCTCTGCCCGCCTCTCCGATGTGCAAAGTCACCTCTGGCCACGCAGTGGCGCTAAGCCACCACCGAGGACAGACCCGCCAAGTTAGCCACAGGACTTTGCAGTTTTGAACTTCCCAACAGCATCGGGTTAATTCACGAGTTTTGGACGATGCTTTCTGGGTATAAACGGTGCTCCCGCCAGGGATAGGCAGCAGATGACGCGCTGGGTCGCCCAACTCCCCGCAGGCCCTCTTGGTGGTGCGGACTAGGTCTGCGGAGCCTGAAGGGCGCGCACTGGGGAGTGTGGGTCCAAGTCCGGTGTCCCTGGGCTGGTGAAGCTCTGCAGAGGTGCGTGCTGCGTAAGGGTCAGCCCGGGGCGCACGGGTGGCCCTAAGGAGCCAGCTCCCTTCACGCACCCGCCCCTCGGTGGGTGCGCGGGACCGACCAGACCGCTCCTCCCCTGGGTGGGTCCCGGCTCCTTTTCTGGCAGGGTCTATTTGCATAGAGGAAACTGCCCAAAGTGGCCGCTGTGGAGGAGCTGGCGGCGGCGGCGGCGAAGG